TCGACTATATTCTCACGACCGAAAGCTGGGACCGTTGGAAGATCATGCTTCGTATCTTTCGTCAATGTTCCTCCAGTGTCGGCGAGCCGGAGAAAAAGCGACAGGCAAGTGCGATGTACCGCTCTCGGGGAGATAACGGGCTAAGTAAGGTGACATTTTATCCGCGGCGAAAATTCAATTTGGCCCACAAAGTGCCGGAGTCAGGTTTTAATGCCGATATTGCGCAGGTCGGCGCTCGACTTGCCCCATTTTCTGTCCTGGTTAGAGGGCGACCTATGACTGCCTCTCCGAGGAAGGGAAGGTGAGGCCTTCCTCCCTTGCATAGAAGGGCTCATCGTGTCGCGCTCCGCCATTATCCCACCGATCGTGCAAGGAAGTCCGTGTACCCTGAGACATTAATGACCAGGAATTCTCACGACTACTGTAATTTCCCTGCAAACACTCGGGGCAATCCGGCTGCGTGTCGGGTGATTTACAGGGCACATCCGTAAGGTATGAAGGGTGTCATCAAGGTTTACGGCCCTCCCAAAGTTCGCGTCCCGATCCCAGCCTCGACCCTCCGCTTTTCGAGAGGCAATCCAGAGTATTAACTCAAAGACTCATTGTCGCGATTCCGCGAAAACGCGGCACTCCGCAATTAGCATTAACCGTGCACATCAAAATTGCCCCTCCCCCGCGTGGGAATCCGAAGAAACGGCCGACTGTATGCTTTTCAAAGATCCGGGGCCCATTGTACCGACCACGCAAGAGAGGATCAAGAAAGAGGCGATATCGGGGAGACAAAGTGGCGGAAATGTAGGTTAGATTAGGCGATATGCACGACTCGACCGAGTCGGGGCAAAAAGCAACCCCTTCCAGCTTCGAGATCGGATAAAAATAAAGGTCACCGTTCCGATAAAGATTCCCTCCAATTTACCGCGTGTTCCTCGGGTTTCCACCCCGCGGGAGACCTCTTTTCCCCCGCGACCGCGGAAAGCTCTGCCCCGGTGATTAAGGCGCTTAAAATCCGCGGCGAACTCCCCCGCGCGGGGCGCAAGGCGGAAACTCCCTCCCAGCTGGGAACTTCGTCTCCCACCTCGTCAGGTTTTTCTTCCTCTGAATTTTTTCCTTTCTTCCTTTTTTTTTCTCCTTTTTTCTAACGCCTATCCTGATATCGAGTGGAGACAGAGTGCCGAAATTTTGCCCATGGAAAATATTACGCCTGCGGAGGAATTATTTCGGGCGGCGTTTCGATGTCTAAAGACACGGATACCCATTCATCGAGCCCGAATGCAAACCCCAGGGCCGACATTACGGACAAAGCGGGCGCACTTACCGGGACAGGCCGCACTTAGCGGCGTTTCGAAAAACCGAGTGACAAAGCAAATTCGGCCCGTGCCGCAGGCGTGTTCCTCGGGCGTTTCCTCGACGGCTAGGGCGACGTTTAGGAAGATCGATGCCCGGACCAGCGACGACGCGGACGTTGAAAAATCTCGTCCTTCGGAGGGCATCGCTGCACCGGAGAATGCACCGGATAAGATCGCTCCCTCCGGTCCTCCGCCGCCCCCCTCCCTCCTCACCCCTCGGGGATAATTAAAAGGGATTTCGCGGAGATATTTCACACCGTGGACAGCCCGTCGCGGCCATGTTTCCCGAAAATGCTTGCCTTCCACTCTTTTTTCCAAAAGTGAAATTTTCCAGGGGACATTTACTCGGAAATCAATGAAAACGAGTTCCTTTGTTCAGAAACCGATTGTCTTCGACATAGCATGATAACCTATCATTTGATTTGGTAAACAAGTGATGTTCGACCTTAAAATGGTGACAATGGTTCGGTGATTTCCGCCGACACCTAGTGATTTCCGTTTGGGATTTCACAAAACTCACGAGATTTCGTGTTTTTTTACTGAAAAAATTGTTTGAATACCTGTAAACAAATTTAAAAGAAAAAAAAGGAATTGAAATTTCGTGAGTCTCAGGACCTTCCTTGTAGCCTCCATATTGATTTAGTAAGGTTTGAGACGATTCGGTCCACACTCAGTTTGGAGAAAAGTTTTGTGAACCAGAACTCTTTGACGCCACTTAGACATCACCTTAAAGTGAATGATCGCCTGGGTGAAACACCTCGAAAATTTTGTATATTCCCGATCATTCCTTTTCAAGCTTCCTTTCGATAGATATAAGAGAATTCTCCCAGCGAATCCCGTTCATCTCGGGATTCCCCAATCTCGACGCTTGCTCCTCCCTCCCGGAAACTTGGTTCCCGGGGGAAAGGGTTAACTCCATCGAGACCCCGTTGACTTTGTTTCCGAGTTGGGCCGCGTTTTACTCGGCGGGGCGTTAAAAACAAGGAGGGAATTATCGCGACCCGCCACGACGTCGATGAGACGAGGACGCCGAGAAGGAGAGAGAGAGAACGAGAGAGAGGGCCGCGCCCATAAGTGCTCTCCCAAGGAGAGGGAGAGAGAGGGAGGTGTGCCAGACTCGAGAGAAGGGAGCAGAATCCGAGTAGCGAGAAGGGAACACGGCTCTGATTAGCATACAAACTACGGGGCGCCGTGTTGCTCGAGAGCGGCCGCGATGCCAGCGACACCACGGCCGATGCGGCAACGACGGGAACTACTACGCGGGCCGACTTAGAGAACTCCGGGGAGAGGGGGGAAGGGGACGACCGCGGAGTGGAGGGAGCTCTCCCTCGAAGATGCCACCCACTACGTCGGCGGCGCTCGAGGACGCAACACTCGAGCTGCCTCTCGGCCCGATACGGGGAGGCCGATAATTGGAGGACGATTTTCTGCAATTTCATATTTATAAATGAAACACCAGACGCGGCAGACAATATTTCGCATTACACCGAGAAAAGAAAAGGAAAAACAGTAGTTCGACTCAAAGAGATCTGCGATGCTATCACAAAATCCTGCGATCAAATACGCCCAAAAAAGTATCGATAGGGGGACAAGAAAAAAAGTTCGTTCAAATCAACGATATCATTTTTCTTCTCGACGAAACAATTGTTTCTCGCAATTATACGCGATTCAGGCAACGTTATATATATATATATGTCAACGATGTACATTCGTTTCGGTCAACTGATCTTTTCTGTCAGTGTACGACAAATTACCATTTCTTAATATACGGCATTACAGCCTACGTGTTTACGATTGATCTCTTGTAAAGATGGATTTTTAGATAACTATATTTTGAGAAGCTCGCGGAAAATTCGGAACTCGTCCTGGGAAGTATTTACAATAACGCTCTGGTACAGGAGGCGAAGAGGTGTAATTTTCTTTCTTCCTCGAGCGGCGCAATCGTCGATAATCTGGATTTTCAGGGCAACCCTGGAACCCGGGGCCGGAATCGAGAGACAACTACATCCGAGTAAATATACGAGAGTGCACGATGGTCGATGCAGGGGGGAGGCCGCCCCCTCGGGGGTGGAGAAAGTGGAGGAAGAAAAGGGGAGGAGAAAGTGCTCCTACGCCGAGATGCCACCCACTACGTGCGACGCAGACACCCGGGCCGTAACAGTCGAGATATCTCCTAAGGCGGCTTCGGCTCCTGATAATGGGGCTCGTTATGATAAATATACAGGAAAGCCAAACAGGGACGCCATTGTCGCGACGCGGGGGCGGCTGCGAAACGGCCGATTAAATAAAATCGCTTGAATGCCTCGAAGTCGTCCCGTCTCTCTTTCCGCACCCTTTTTCCACCTTATTCGCCTTCTCTCATTTTTCTCCTTTTAGCGTTTTTAACCCCCCCCCCCCCCCCTTGGGAAATGGCGTCCGTCTTTGCCGCTCCCATGGCTTTCCTCGTCCCCTCTCGCTCCCCCTCATCGCCTTGTCCAGGCATTTATCCTTTGACGAATGGCGCCGCGGCGAGCCGAGAAAAGGCCACGAGGCGGCATCGATCGTCTTTAAGTACTGTCGACTTGTTAATTGCGGTAATTAGCGACGTAGAAACATCCGAGAATCGCGGACGCGATAAGCCCACCGGGGTCAAAGGCGATTGTCCCTGAAAGAGGTGGGTAAGTATGGAGCTATCCTTGGAGTGTCATCGTGGACTCGTCGGCGATCGAAAGCGACGATACGCCGACATGTACATTAATTACTCACGCGAATGAATAATTTCATTGTCAAAAATACCCATCGGATATGTCCGTTCAACCTAGCGACCGAAGGGTGGTCTTTAAAAATGGAAATAGCATATCAGCGCGATATTCGATGTCGGCGGTGCAGTTAAAAGTGGCAGGAAAAATATTGTAGGAGTCCCTCGTGGGGGGTTGAACTTTATCCTCCAAACTTTACGGCGGGTTGTACGATTTTTCGTATTTATTCTCGATGACTTCCGTGAATATTCTCAAGTGGACCCGACGGATCGTTCCATCGCTGATCTAAGAGCCCCTGCTTAGCCATATCTCAAGTGCAAATTTGCCGGTTAGGAGGCGCCGAATACCCCATATCTCCGTTCCCATCCTCGATATAGGACCGTTTGGGTGGACGGACAGGTTCATCTTCGAGGGGAGAAAAACCGTGCTGTCAGAGGCACGCCAGCGTACTAAAGCGCACGCCTTCCGGGGTGGAATGGCCCGTTTTTGGCTTATTTAGGACCCACTGGAACGCCACTGATTCGAATCCTTCCACCCCGAAACTCCAAAAAAGAAAAAAAAAAAGATAGCCGCTAAAAGTCAAACCAAGATTCCGCGAAATTTTTCCTACCACTGCGGTGATTTATTTATTCCCGTCTGTTAAAAGGACCTTCCGAGAGCGTGGAGAAGGAATCTGGAAACGTCGCCGACAATGGCGTCGAAAATGGACACGTATCGGGGCTGATGGAGAGCGCGAGAGGGTGGAGGGGAAACGTCCGCAGGGGTGGTTTATGGATTTTCAATGTTTCCTCGCGTGTTTTCTTTCCTCCGTTCGCCGGGGGGTGCCCGAGGGGGGACCCTTGTACACGGGGACTCTGTTCCCCGGGACTTTTATACGGTCAGCCGCGTAATAAAAAATGAACTCGGCTCTACTCACTTCCAGAATACGACGGACACGACGGCCGCCATCAGGAGCAGAACCACTGCGCAGGTGATGATCAGCGCCGTGCTCTGGAGAGACGGATTCGTGTGGTGGGATGCGTCGATCATCTGCAAAAGGAACACGCAAAGTCTCGTTAATAATAGCGTTAAGACGAAATGAAACCCCCCTCAAATCAACCGATTCTAATAAGACACCTTTTTTAAGTCTATTGGACCGAACTTTGATATATAACTCGTGAGCACTTATTATCCTGGCACTTTTGACATTTGAATTTTCGAAGCAAACTTTCGACTTAAGAACTAAATAAAAAACCCAGAACTAAAATGCCGTCGAGCTCTCATATTTTGATCGATATACAAGTATGGAAGGCCCTGAGATTAAGACGAGGTCTCAGAGAGGAAATTTTGTTGCCACTGAAATCACAGATGGCACTCTGTAGGCAAGTAGGGGATCAAAAACCACGAATTTAGGGGATTTATGGAGTTCAATTTCGATTTCTTTATAATTATTGTACGGAGACGACTTGTGGAGTCTGCCATTTAGTACAATATCCAATATAGTTCGACACGGCTGTCGATATAAATACCAACGTCTGTAATGTAGGTATTTAGAAGAATCTCTTTTATCAACGTCGATCAAATTTTTCGCGTTCACTTCTCCTCAATCGTTAATAATAAATCGGCGCGGTAACGTTTCGAATGAATTTTCCTGGCCACGGAGCGTTATTTACCGTCGGGGAAAAATCTCGCGAAGAAGAAAATTGGTGATCGTTTTTGCCGCGGCGCACTTTGCCGCGCCCATGATCGGCTAATTACTCCGTCGCGTGTACACCTTACTTAACGTTCGCATTCGGAGCTTGTTTAATTTACCCCGCGGCACCGATTCCTAATTAACATGTGTAATCCGCATACCGATGGAGGCGGTTTTAATTGATCATTCCGCGCCGCACGGAAATGCCGGCCCGTGTTACGGTAATTGAAAGGGAGTCAAATGAGGCACAAAAAGGGGGGACGGAATCGGGCACAAGAAGGGGCCCGAAGAAAGGTAAGAAAAAGACACCGAGGAGGGGAAGGGGAACGACCAGCGGAGCCGCTATCGAGGAGGCGATCTACGACGAAAGGAGGTCCAATACGGAACGATCGGATAACCGATCGCCCAGATCGCCGATACGGATCGATCGATCGGTCGTACATTTTGCCCAGCGCATTACCTTTAATTAGCCCAACTACTGCCGCGCTCTTTACACCGGGGACTTTAATTGCGACGAATAAACGATTCGTCCCGATGGCCCCCCACGAGCGGCCCTATACACAAAGGGCATTAATTCCCCTTTTTTTTCGAGTTACTTTTAACAAACAAATCCGCACACCCAAGTCGTAATTAAGAGCCGGCCGGATATTTGTCACGTCGTTCCGGATGCAGGGAAAATATTTGTCGCGTATCGCCGGGGATGCAGGTCGGAATCGGAGGGGCCAACGTAATCGAATGGGCATTTCATTTTTTTTTTTCCCTCCCATATGCGATGCACCATAGGGCATACCCCTCTATGCACCGCGGAAAAGTTACCGTTTCGCGGTAATTGAGTGCCGAGTAACAAAAGGACGTCCTATATCGCTCATTGCGAGGTGTGGAGAAAACTGAAGGAAAAAGGGCAAAACATCCAGTTTTGGTGTCTCGACTTTGGGGGAAAAAAAAAAAGAAAAAAATCGAAATCTCTCGATTCCTCGTCGTGGCGATCAAACATCAGGTCCAGAGATCCGATCGATCTTCGGGGCGCCTATCGCGCCATTGTAGCTCAGCGTGGCGGATTCGAATTAATTAGAATCGATGAACGACTCGGGTGTCGGGGGGCGAGGAAAGGGTTTCGGGGATATTGTGCCTCGGCGTGTTTGGCGTTAGGCCAACGCAAGCAGCATTTATCAAAGGCCGCTGGTCCGCAAGATGCGGAGGAGAGATCCGTGACGCCCTCGCCGTTGCGGACCTCTCTCTCCCCCGCGCGATCTTCGCATCGCTCCCTCTCCGTCCGTCTCGCGGCGTCGTTCCTCCGAGGCCCATCGTTCATCATTACGGGGATATTAATGGCGGCCGCTAATGGATTCGACCGAGTCTCCCGCCAATAAGAGAATCCTCCCACAGCTCGTCCACCGGTATACCCGGGTTCCGCAAAGAGACTCGCAAGCCGACCACTACGCGTTTTCCGCCGCAAGAAATTACCATTTCTTCACACCACTCGCGGAAAGAAAAGAACGAAAATATCGTGAGGGTTAGTTCTCCCTGGAAATCATGCCCAAAATCACGTGGAAAATCCCAAGCAGACGTCACTAGAGATCGTTTAAAATCACTGAAAAAAAAATCTCCCAATTTTAAGGCCGAACGTCACTTCTTGCCGAATCACATTACCGTTCGTCGTAAGTAATCAAAGACAATCGGCGTCAAAGAAGGAAATCATTTTCATTGATTTTCTCGGAGAAAACACAAGTGCGTCGAACGTAGATGTAACCAGGGAATCTGAAGCGAGTACATTTTAATGACTCCAAGGGTGAATTGTCCTCTTGTCTGGAGATTTATTAAGTGTCCCTAAGAATGCGGATCTTATACAGATGTACCGAGATAAGATGAGCGATAGGCTTCTCTTTAGGTGTTCGAAAGTAGGCTTTGGGACCAGGCCTCCAGTAGCCGGGAGCCCGAAGAACCCGAAGAGCCCGAAGAGCCGAAGAGGCCAGTCTCCATGGCAAGCAAATGGTAACCTACACTCAACCGGTAACCCGATGCCCGATCCAATTAACGGTTCCTCCTTGAAGTGCGTACACAAAGTAACGACCGAAATTGATTCTTCGATGAAGCCCTCCACCCGAGGCTGCCCCCTCCTTACGGCTCCCCCAGATGAACTCTACGAGCCCTCGGGACCCGAATTTTGCATATAATGCAACCGGCGATTATTCCCCGAAAATCGAAAATCCCGTCACGACGGCTCGTCGGGACGCGTCCCGGTGTCGACGCCAGTTTTCAATGGAACCAGATTTCGGGGAGCGTCGATACCCGGTATAAAAATCAAGTCGATAAAAATTCGGAAGTTACGGCCAGAGGTATTTGTCAGGCGGCGGGATGTGTCGATAAATCCAGCAAATGGAGTTCGGCTCGATCGAAACTCAACGTCCTCGCGGGTGATCGATATGGCGGACGCGTAAAGTGGCTCATCTGAATGTGTACGCTCTGCGACTGAGAGTAGGGGTAAAGAAAATAGAAATGGCCTTTTGAGGCCCAAAAAATAGAAGGAGGTGGGCGAGGGTTTCATCGGGGAGGTCTGTTCTCTCCAAATGGTATAAAATCTCTGCAATCGGGGTCCATCGATGGCGCGCAGCGATAGGAGGAGGGCGCTTATCAGGGGCCTCGTCGCTGCGTCTCGGCCGCCGACTCGCCGGGTCGGAATTTTCGCCTCGTCGGGCCCCCGCGATCGTGATTCGACGAGGGCTCGATTAATTAGCGGCAGTCGTTAATGAAGCCTGGCCAAACAAAGGAGGTGACGGCGAAACGGTGAGACGCGTCGGCGGGGGACACTCCCCGTTTCGGCGTGGCGCAATCAATATCGTAATGCGATCGCACCGGCCGGAGATAGCTACGACCCGTAAAACATTTTCTTCCGAGAGGGAGAGCCCATTCATTACCATAAACTCCGACGCCCCCGCGACGAACAATGGCGCCGCAATCGAACGTCGTCCCGCTGATTTAGCCGGTCCAAGTGGCCCAAGGCGAGACCCCGGTACCATTCTTTCAACCCCTGTTCCCCCCCGCCCCCGGTATCACCTGATCGCTCGATAAAATGAAAATTCAAGCGCCCCACCCTCCTCAAGAAAATCCCGGACCATCAGGGCCCCCTGGACAAGGTGCAACCCCCAGAAATGCACCCGGAGTGCACCTAGCAGTTGCTCCCATGGGTGGCCAAGATGGCGGCGCTCCTGGAAATCCCGATGAATCCTCGATTTTACTAAATCCCCCGAGGGTCTTCACTCAAGGGCACGTCTTCTAGGGAATCCTGTGTGGGGCTTTTTGTCTTCCGCATCGAGCGGCATGCGCGACGCGTGACGAGGGTCAAGTGCATATCGGAGCTGGTGCAAGGATGCAACGTGCCTCTTCTGGTAGTCCCTGGTTTCCTTCCCCTCGAGATTGGCGTTTCTGGGGTGCGTCGTCTTAACTTCTATTTTCAAGACTTCGCGGAACTGTCAAAACAGCCGATATCACAGAGCTTAACGAGAAAATGGCTCGGCTCTGAGAATTTATCTGGAACTTGCTTTTCTTCGTAAAAAACTGACATCTTGTCCATCCGGAATGCTAATGTTCGCGTTACCGCGGGAAGATGTTCATGGGTGGCACGACCAGCGGCGGTGGTTGATGTGCTGCCTGAAATACGAGGTTGCACAGGTTCGGGGACCGGTCCGGAACCGTTCCCTCGCGGCTCATTTATTATGGATAATCCCGGAATTGGATTCCTGGTTATAGCAGGTGCAACGACGTATAGCAGGCCGCGTAAAGTGCACCCTCCGTCGCCAGGGGAGGATTATCGAGCCACCGAGGGCGCCATCAACCCCATAGGCCCGAGCTACCCCGGCCGAATTTTGGTCCCCCCCCCCCCCGCCATTCATACCCGTCGCCGGCTGGCACCACTTCGCGGCTTTTCAACGAAATTCAAACCGCGATTACATCGAACGGGTAAGAAACTCGTTCCCGTGCGGTGTCGCACCCTCGCCGGATAAAAAGAGGAGGCGGAAAGAAAAAAAAAAAGAATTCCGCGACGTCGCGCCATCTGCGGGGCAGGGAAGGCGGCCCCGTAGGGGCATAAAACGCTTTTAATTTCTCCAGGGTTGCATCCCTCGCGACACCGGTGCTGAATGAGTCCGATGGCGGCGGTAGACGCGTCGGGGGCGCGTCTCCTCCACCCCCGACACACGCGTCGCCGAGCAGCCCCAACTTCGCGGGGGGTGTGTTTAGTATCCGAGTAACATTCCGGGCAGGCTTTAATATCGCCTGTCATTTCATCCGTCCAACTTGCAGCCGCATTTCCCGGGTTCTCTTTGGGGCTCGAACCCACCACGGGGACCGTCAACCCTTT